TAACTCTTGTTCATAATCTCTCTGCTTCTCTTCCATCATTCTCATATCTTCTTCTATTTCACTGGTCTTCTCCTCTGTCTTCTCTTTTGCTTTTTTCAGTTTTCCAGAACAATAGTCTCTTTATTTTGACTTGTTTAAGATTATCACTGTCTCTTGCCTGCCAAAATTCTTTTTGGCTCCACGCCTAGATTTTTGTTATTGTTTACTGTCCGTTCAAGGTTATCACTTCCCAGTTCCTTTAGACTCACTCCTCTATTAACCATGGGGGGGTGATCTTCCCTTTACACATCTCCAATAGTCTTACAATCGATTATACTTTCGCCCGTTGCACCCCCTTCCGAATCGTTTCTTCTGCCAATCCCCCCCCCTATCAAGCCACAAAATTTATAAGGGCTCTCCTGCCCCCCTCCTGTTGGAGAGAACAATAGCTAGCGATGCAAGATAGCTATAGGGTGGGGTGGCTGGTTCCCACACTCTCCTCTGTGAGTTTTCTTTTGTCTCTTTCAATCCTCAATAAACCATTTACTTCATATTGCATTTAATTCCAAAGCATCTTATGCTGCCACCATCACAGTCTTTATTTACTGATATTCCATTAGTATGTTGGTATTTCACCCCTTTATTTCCCCACCACTCTGCCAAAACCATGGGATTAATTGGAATGTCCTCCCTGCCGTTATTGGCCGATTGAGTAGTATTGGGGAGAGGAATTCCAGTCTGTTAGGGGTTAACAATCATGACAGTCTTTTCTTGAAAACACAGAAAAGTTTCCACTTAACTCACAGTTATACGCTTGTATTTTCAATCGCTTATCTTCCTCTTGGCTTCTCTGCAATAGCAACAGCTCCTGCCCACCATGGTGAGCTTCACTTCTTCGGCTTGCTTCACAGCGAGTTTGGGGTCTCCTAACAGGTTGCCTCCCTCGTTAGGACCCCTAACTCAAGCTCCTTGCTCCCTTCAACCCCTCCCTTGGGGTGCAGGGTGGTCTCCGTTGGTTCGGAGACCCTTTTAAACTGAAGAATTGATCAGTCACCCGGGAGCTCCCCCGATGTGACTGCTAGTGCTGCAGGTCTTCCCTAAAATACAATATACATTATATATATTTTTTGGCATTTTTGAATTCCAGTTCAAATATATCTGAAGATACCAACATAATGGTCTGTGGTGTCACTCGTTGGGGTGCAGGGGTTCACGCGTTGCAAAGACGACAGGACACAAGTCTGCAGGAAGCTGATCTGAAACTTCTCGGTTTCCCAGCATTTATTTATAAGCTCAGTTTCCCCCCATTTCCTCCCCCCTTCCTCTCACACTCCTTCTCCCTGCGTAGAGGAAAGTTTCAAGCACTCGAGCATCCTTTTGGAATGTGTGTGTGTGTACATGCAGCTCTCTGTTATCTCTGCCACTCCCACTCTCTCAAGGTTAAACCGACTGCGTCAGTGAGCAGTAAACAGATTCCATCTCGGGCTCTCATTACGTATAAATATTTCAGTTCCCAATTTCCAGGCAGGAGAATAGGGAATCCATCTGCACTGGTTTCCTACACTGGCCCCTCCCGCAAATTGGCAAAGCGGGGGGGTGACCGGCATCGCCCTGTTGCGGAGCGAGAGTTTGGAAAGAACATAGCCGCCATGTTCTCAAGACGCTGCCACCCAGTTCTTTTAAACCTTTATTTTTTCTGTTGAATGGATGCATCACATTGAAAAGTTGGGTATGGACATCCCCTTTGGATATTTCCTGGTGGGAGAACGTGGAAAAAGAGGAGAGGGGATAGATATACCCCCTATTTGATACATCGTTTGCGCATATATGGATTGAACAGTATACCCCCCTGTGGATATTTTCTTTTTTAATGGGAAAAACGGCTGTAAAAAATGGTTTTTGGAGTGAAGAGTGGCTTGACGAAATGAATGGGGGTAAGAGAAAATTTTTCTGCTGAAATATCATTACCATTTTAAGATAAACTCTGAAAAATACTTGAATCTGCTTAATTGTTTAATTGAAAAACTCGTATGTTGATGGAATAAAAAAAATTGAGGCGGTGGATATGAATGAGGGGATAGATGGAGATACAAAAGTTGGTGAGCTCACGTGGGAACAGTGGGAGTACTTTCCAAAAATAATGGTAGAAGAAGCGAAGAAAGCATTTAAATTGGCCTGTGAGAACATCCTGAGAAATCCCCAGAATGAAGTGTTGGAGGTGAAGGAAGATAAAGATATAACAGAAGGAATGCAAAGGCAGAGTGAGGCACTGGAAATAGTGAAGGAGAGAGGACCGCAGGTTATTCAGCCTTTACATATAAAAGAAGAGGCACAGGAGACAGTTAACTTTAAAGGTGGTTTGGAGGAACAAAGAAAATTAAAATCAGGAGTAATAAAGAAATGTACGCTAAACCCACCTTGGAGAAATAAGAAGAAGCCAACTAGAGGGGAAAAATCAAAGAAAGGAGCTAAACAATCAAATAGGGCCAAGCAATTAATCATCAGAAAATACGGAGGAGACAATTTGGAATTGAATACGCAGGAGCCCAAGGTGTACGAGGAGTACAAGGACAGACGACACTTGGAAGAAAATGGGAAAAATCAAGATAGAAAGGAACTGGAATATGGTGTCATTGCAGGGATTGTGTGTGTGTGTATTGGTAGGCTGTATATCTTTTGCTTCTTTAGTTTTTTATACTGTTATAGGGAAACCCAAAAGACAGCTGTTTTGAATATATTTAGTGGTGGTGGTCTTTATAAGTTCTAATCTTGCCTTGATAATTTTCCCATCAATTAATTGAAAATGAAATTTATTACTGGTAATAGTAGTATTCTTCTGTTTTGTGTTGATATTAGATAGTGTAAAAGATGGTTGTAATTGATTAACTAGGGGTGGAGTGATAGTTATAAAATAGGGTATTTGAAACTTTATCCTGAAAATTTTATTATAAATTAATTGGAAAGGAAATTTATTGCTGGCAATAGGAGTAATAGTTGTAGTATTAGGTTTAAATGTTTAAAGATAATACGTTTGCTAGTATATTATAAGAAGTAAAATGGGTATTTGAAATTAGGCTTTGATAATTTAACCAAAAATTAATTGGAAATGTTTTGCTGGTAATAGTGGTAATAATTCTTGTACTGTGATTAAATGTTTAAGATTAATAGGTACTATATTATATAAGGCATCTTTGGTGAGGGTATATATGTTTGGGATAGAGTTGTAGGCAGAAACTTCACTGTTGGTTGGAAAAAGATGGTTGTTGTGGTTAAAATAGGAGTGGAAAGTGACTTTTGTAGTTATATGTAGATGTATGCAAGAATTTAAACCTGTAGGTGTAATGTTGTTGGTGTAATATTGTTATAAATTATGTGGAAATGAAATTTATTGGTGACAATAGTAGTACCAGTAATAGAGTAGTGATGAAACTGCTTAAGAATAATGGGTATGTTGGTATGTTGTCCAGCCATCTGTTTCAGGGAACTGAAGAGTTACAGGAAATGATCTGTGTGATGGTATTCATGAATGGGAACTTTCAAAGAGTCCCACGATTAGAGTGGAGACTGAACATTAGATCTGAGTACTCCAGCAGAATAGGTATAAGTAATTAAAGTAAATAGCAGATGAATTTATAAAAAACTACTCTTGATATATAGATAAGAAAAAACAATAATGATAGGTCAGCAGACAAGATAGCTGATAATTATGTTGACTAAAGTAAGTCGAGAGGGTGTAATGTGAAATCACTGTTGGTTAGTATAATGATAGAAAGAATTTAATGATATATAACCAACTTGTTTGATCATTGTGATGTATCAAGAAAATGGATGTTTGTAGTTGTTTATATGTATGTCTGTCTATTAAGCATAAAAACCCAATAAATATACTAAATACAAAAAAAACCCCACCAACGAACCATGCATAGTATATCTCATTTCGTGTATAATGAAAGTGGGTAGCGTTGAAATACAATATTAATCCATTTGACAAACTTTCTAGTAGTATGGATGTGATGAGTGTCACTATGAGACAGTATGGGGTGGAAGTCCTGCTTCAGCCAGAGCTATTAGCATAACCGAGAGCTTGGTGGCTCCTTCCTTCAACCCCCTCCTTTCTGCCATCCACTAGTTTCTCGCTGGGTTCCTGCTTGTGAACAAAGCGTCGTCTCAGTGACTGAAATAGTGAGGTGAATTCTTGCATGGAGAGCAGAGGTCCATCAGTGGCTATTAGCCACAAGGTATAGGTAGGGGACTCTGATAACTTCAACAAGGTATAGATAGGGGACTCTGATAACTTCAGAGGACGGCGGAAGACAGGAAGACCTGGTGTGATCTGGTCCATGGGGTCACGAAGAGTCGGACTCGACTGTGCGACTGAACAACAACAATAGATAGGGGCTCTGGGGCAAGTGATGCTCTGTCTTCTTGGTGCTTGGGGGGGGGCACAGTGGGAGGGGCTTCTAGTGTCCCAGCCCCACTGCTGGACCTCCTGAGGGCCCCTGGTATTTCTGGCCACTGTGTGACACAGAGTGTTGGACTGGAGGGGCCACTGGCCTGATCCAACATTGGCTTCTCTTATGTTCTTATATGGAGCAGGGGTCCATCCGCGGCAATTAGCCACAAGGTATAGATAGGAACTCTCAGGCTGGGGCAAGGGATGCTCTGTATTCTTGGTGCTTGGAGGGGGGGCCCACAGTGGGAGGGGCTCCTAGTGTCCCGGCCCCACTGGTGGACCTCCTGGTGGCACCTGGTATTTCTGGCTACTGTGTGACACAGAGTGTTGGACTGGAGGGGCCATTGGCCTGATCCAGCATTGGCTTCTCTTATGTTCTTATGTCTGGGGCAAGGGATGCTCTGTATTCTTGGTGCTTTGGGGGAGAACCTTGCACCTGTCTGCAGAGGGCTCCTGGAAGGATTTTAATTCCTTGCGCATTCTGTATGATCCACCATGTTGGGCTGTTTGCAGGGACCCCCGGGGTGAACCAGCTGGGCGGGCTGTTTGTGAATGGCTGCCCTCTACCCATCCTCACAAGGAAGAAAATTGTTGAGCTGGCCTCCTGTGGACTGCGGCCCTCTGACATTTCTCGCCACCTGAAGGTAACAGTAACCTGAAAGGCAGGAGACTGGGAGAAGAGTGTCCATCCCATGATGAGAAGTGTGGGAAGAGAACAGGGCGAGGGGTGAAGGACTGGGGGAGGAGAAGAGAGGAGCCCCGGCCAGAGGGAAGCCCATGGGAGGGGCCTGGGTCAGGGGCATGGCTGGAGAACCACGGGGGGGAGGGGGGAAGACCTTGTGGGGCTCTCAGGCTAAGTGAGCCACGGAGATCCAACTGCTCTTTTTCAACCCCCCCCCCCCGCATCTGCTCTCTCTCTCTCTCTCTCTCTCCACTCCAGGTGTCCAATGGCTGTGTCAGCAAGATTCTCACCCGCTACCACCAGAGTGGCGTGATCCAGCCCAAGGCCGTGGGAGGCAGCCGGCCACGCATGTCTGCACCGCAAGTGGTGGCTCGGATCGCCCAGCTGAAGCAAGAGCAGCCGTCCCTCTTTGCCTGGGAGATCAGGAGGAAACTGCAGGCGGAGGGTCTCGGCGCTACCCACGGGACGCCCAGCGTGAGTGGCTAACGGCCTGCATGGATGGGCTTCCAGATGGCCTGTGGGCACAATGGGGGAATGGGTCACGCGGCTCAGTGGCAGAGCACCCGCTGCTTTGTGTGCAGAACTCCCCAGGGCCATTTCCCGGCAGCTCCAGCTGAAAGGAGCAGGCGGTCCTTGCCAAGGGTGACCCTGCTGTGCTTTGCCTGGGTTTGGTCTCAGTAACACCCCAAGGAAGACGCACCGCAAAGCAAAACAAGACATTTATGGAAGAAATTCGAGAAAAGGTATAAAAACAAGGCACATAGTTAAGCGGCAGGGAAATGGACAAACGTCACAAAACGGCCCTCTACACTTACTGGAACCCTAACACAGCACAGTTGGGTTCTTCAAGCAAAGAGTCCCGGAACATAATAGAAATATCTTCTCGGCAGCAAGGAGAGGTAGGAAGGGGAGGGTGGGGAAAGGAGAAGGATTCTTCTCTCTAACCTCTCTTATAGAAGAAGGCTGGCCATGACCTCCTCCTCCTGGCCTCCTCAGCCAATCACTGGGCAGTCTCTGGCCCTTTCCAGGGTGAGCGGGAGTGCCCTCTCCCAGACCGGATTCACGGCAGTTGGAGGGACCATCCCTTGTGACACCTTTAGTTATCCTACCTAGATTCATCATTCATGGGATTACAACCCCAAAAAAATATTAAAGGAAAACAACTGGTTTATACCTCTGAAACGAGCTAATGCTGAGCCGTGTTTGCGGTTATTCCACCTGAGAGCTTTTTCTCCAGGGTTCATGTGATAGTGCCGTGTCACATCAACCAGGGAGGGGGTGCCCCCAGTCTAGATGTCGGGCCCATGCAGCTGAGAAACGGGAGCCAGGCAGCTGCAAAACTTTGGCAAGATTTATCTGCCCAGCAACTTTCTGTGGAGTCCTCCGATTCCAGATGGTGCATTGCCCCGATTTCCCTGGCAGCAGCCAGAAAGACCAGGGCCGGATTTATGCATAAGCTAAATAAGCTACATCAAATATTAAAAAGGCGTATATATTTTAAATTTTTCTGAGACCAGCGGATGTAATTTAAAGCGGTAGGGGGCCTCTGGGTTTTGTATAGCTTAGGGCCTCAGCAAGTCTAAATCCGGCCCTGAGAAAGACGCAGAGGTGCTGCTTCCTGCTCCTGCATGCATGCCAGAGCTCCGGAAACCTAGAGAGCCCCCATGAAGGTGCCACGAGGGAGGGATGGTCCCTCCAACTGCCGGGACGACCCACCCACGAGGTTTGCTGCTCCCCCTGGGCTCCCTCCTCCCCTCGAGGGACAGGAACTCCCTTCTGGTTCCGGCCCTGGGGGCTTCTCGGCACCAAGGGGGGGCAGGCCTGCCCCCCCAAGAGGCTGCAGCAGGCCTCGTCCTGTGGGGGGTGGGGGGGGAGGCTACTCGCTTCTCTCCTCCAAGGGAAGGCAAGAGGCCAGAGGGCTCCTTCCTCTTGCTCACAGGCTGGCTTCCTTCTGTGGCAGAGCTGGGGCTTCTTTCAAGCCAGGCCCAAGAGCCGGGGGGACCCTTCACCCGGGGCGGAGGGTGGCCACTGTGACTCTGGCCTGTCTCCAGCCACTGTCTCCCAATAAGCGCGAGGGTCACAAGGGTCCTGAGAGAGGCTCTTGCCTCAGCAGGGCAGCCACCAGCAGGTTTCCTCAGAGGTCCGTCCCCCCCGGTGAGCTCGCTGGGACGCTTGAGGTGCAGACTCCTTCTGCTGCCAGGCCCCTCGCGCTAACTGAATGAAACCGAAGGAGCAACACCGCCCCTGTGGTGTGTCCCCGCCTGCCCCACCTCCTCTTGCCTCCCCAGGTGTCCTCCATCAACCGCATCCTGAGGAGACTGCCAAGGGGCGTGGCTCTCCCAGACCCACCCGCCATCCCGGGGAAGCCTCTGCTCTCAGGTAACATCGGAGGCTGTCTGTGGTGGGGAGAAGGGGGAGGGAGAGGGGCTCTGAGACTCCACGTGAAGGGCAAGGGGAATAAATCCAGTCCCCTCCTCCTCCTCCTCTTTAAGAGCCAGTTTGGTTTCGTGGTTAGGAGTGCGCAGACTCTAATCTGGGAGGACCGGGTTTGATTCCCCACTCCTCCTCCACTTGCACCTGGCTGGATGACCTTGGGCAAGCCGTAGTTCTGACAAGAGCTGTCCTTGAAAAAAAGAGCAGTTTCTGTCAGAGCTCTCTCAGCCCCACCTACCTCACAGGGGAAGGGAAAGGAGTTTGTCAGCCGCTCTGAGACTCCTTTGGGTTGTGAAGGGCCATGGGGTATAAGTCCAATCTCTTCTTCTTCTTTAATAATAAGGGCTTCTGGGTTTGCTGTTCATGGCCTGTTAGTCCCTGTTTTACCTCCTCTGCCATCTTTCTCCCTCTGCCGGGACCCGTTTCTTCAGACGGTGCCCCTGGGTGCGCCTCCTTCCCAATCCACACAAAGGCTCTGGCACTCCTCTGTCAGCCTCAAGCATGTCTGCCCCACACCAAGAAAAGCTGCCCCCTCTCAGAAAGGGTCTGCCTTCTGCCCGCAAACCCTCGAAGCTACCCACTCCTGCAAAAGGGCCGGGGAGGGGAAAGCAGGCACTTCGGCTGGGAGGTCTCCATTGCAGACTGGCACCAGGCCCCCCCCCCCCCCCCCCCGTTTTTGTGGTCCCCAGCCGGCCCCCCCCCCCCCCCCCCCCGTCCTGTTTTTTGGGCAGGATGTGGGCTTTGTGGCTGATGGCTTTATTGCCCCCAAACTAGCCGTTTCTCATCTGACAACTTTACCAAAGTCAGTATCCAGAAATTATTTGCATCAATATACCACCCACAGATGGATGGACTTGTCTGGTATTCCAGCCAAACCGCTGAGGCTTTTTCTCCCCACCACCAGCAGCACCCCCACCTGGGGGGGGGGGTTTCCCTTCAATGTTTAAAAAATCAGCAGTTGACACATCATCATAGCATTATAATAGAAGAATCGGCGTCCAGGAACACCTTGTTGCTGTTGTCAGCCATTCAGCCGTGTCCAACTCTTGGCGATTCTATGGGCCAGCCTCTCCCCACATTTCCCAATCTTAGGGGCGCCTCCAAGACTAACAGCATATGCGGCACAGGGGAGGACCCTTCATGAGCCCCTGCGGCCACTCCTTCAGGGGTTGGAGGAGGGAGCTGTGGCTCTCAGGGAATGTCTGTCCGTCCTCTTGGAGGGGCTCCTGGACTCCGGCTCTTTCCTCCTGCTGCAGACAGACAAACTCGGCCACCCGTCTCAACATAAGAATGTTTGCCAGAGGCTCTGCATTTCCCAGCTTTCTTTCTTTTCTTTAAAAGTCTAATTGCAAAGCTTTGCCTTCTGCCTTGTATTCCTGCAACAATCCCCTCAGGAAGTGAAAAAAGGAAATTGCCCCCCCCCCCCCAAAGCATCTACGCTGTGGCAAACCACCCACCTTTTACGTTCTGATCCTGGCTCTCTTG